GGTTGGCAGCAGCAGCCGGGCCAGCCTCCGCCCCACTCCACGTGGAACTGCCACAGCCTGCCCGTCTACAGTGGACCCAAAGGGAGCCCCCATCCCGGCATGGTCGCCGCCTATTATAACCACCCGGAGGCACTGAAGCGGGAGAAAGGAGGGGGCCCACAGCTGGACCGCTACGGAAACAGCGTGCGGCCCATGATGCCACAGAAGGTACAGCAGGAGGTGGGGCGGCCCCAAGCGCCCTTGAACTCGTTCCATGTGGCCAAAAAGCCCCCAAACCAAACGCTGCCCCTGCAACCTTTCCAGCTGGCGTTCGGCCACCAGGTGAACCGGCAGGTCTTCCGGCAGGGCCCACCGCCCCCCAACCCCGTCGCTGCCTACCCGCTCCAGAAGCAGCAGCAGCAGCAGCAGCAGGCGGCCCTGCCCCAGATGCAGCTCTTTGAGAACTTCTACCCCATGCAGCAGCCGCCCTCTCAGCAGCCCCAGGACTTTGGCCTGCAGCCGGCCGGGCCACTGGGGCAGTCCCACCTGACTCACCACGGCATGGTGCCCTACCCCTTCTCCCACAACCCTGATATGAACCCCGAACTGCGCAAGGCCCTCCTGCAGGAGTCGGCCCCGCAGCCCGTGCTACCTCAGGCCCAGATCGCCTTCCCCCGCCGCTCCCGACGCCTCTCCAAGGAGGGCGTCCTGCCTTCCACCGCCCTGGATGGGGCTGGTACCCAGCCTGGGCAGGAGCCTGCCACCAACCTGTTTCTACATCACTGGCCCCCGCAGCAGCCGCCCCCAGGCCCCCTGGGACAGCCTCATCCGGAAGCTCTGGGATTCCCGCTGGAGCTGAGGGAGTCGCAGTTGCTGTCTGACGGGGAGAGACTGGCACCCAATGGTCGGGAGCGAGAGGCTCCCATCATGGGCGGCGAGGAGGGCATGCGGGCAGTGGGCGCCGGGGACTGTGGGCAGGTGCTACGGGGTGGGGTGATCCAGAGCACGAGAAGGAGGCGCCGGGCGTCCCAGGAGGCCAATTTGCTGACCCTGGCCCAGAAGGCAGTGGAGCTGGCCTCACTGCAGAACACAAAGGTAAGAGTGGCGTGGGGTGGGAGCCGAACCTGGCAGAGGGTGTGGGGTGAGCTGTGTGTGGGGAGAGCAGGGACTGTAGGCCCACGAGGGCACTTGTCTCACGTCATTAAAGGAAATGAAGGAACCTGTACATTTCAGGGAATTCTGAACTCCCTGCATGCAAAGAATCTCTACCTCGGTGCATCTGTAACCTGAAGGGAGATGAGGTTTATACAGGTGCAGGGATGCAGGCAGGAAGTGCACGTACCTGCATTTCCAGATCCAGTGTGCTAAATGTTAGCAGCTAAAAGACAAGAACGTAGTAGTCATTACACAGGTGATTTTACTTGTCAAAATGCATCGAACTGTAATTAAAAATAGGTGCCTTTTATTGTGTCAATTATACTGCAATAAAGTGGATTTAACAGAAAAGGCAGTGACAGTGGGGGGAGAAGAATGAACAGAGTGTGAGCATCCATATCGTACTTGGAGTTCCTTACACTTGGTCACAAATAATTTGATAGGGATGCTGTCATTTATCCCATTTTATTGCTAAAGAAATCCCCAATGGGATTTCCCAAGGTCGTAAAGCTAGCATAGAGGCCTCATATCTGACTCCAAAGCCAGTGTCGGCCCCTTCCTCTACTTGAGGTCTCAACCCCCGATGCCTGTAGGGCCAGGCTGATCTGTAGAAGGCTGTAGAATCTGACTTCATTCCAGCCAGCTGCCACTGGGAAAATAGATATACAAAGACCACCCTTACCTGCCACAAGTTCTCTGCTTGCTTTCTTTTACAGAGATATGTTTTAAATATTTAGATAGTTTTTTATATATTCCACTCACTCACTGTGCAGGCCAAGCAAAGTACATCAGTAAGGCACGTGTGGCCTGAGATGGCCATCCGGGGTCCTACCACAGGCTAGGATGGGGAACCTGGCAGAAAGGAGGTGATAGAGGGTATTTGGAAATGTGGTGGGAGAAAAGGTGGTCAGGGTAAAAGGCCAGGTGATCAAAGACCATTGGGAACCATCATAGGTGTTCGAATCCCTGAATTGAATGGGACTAGGGATTCTCGGCCAGCACATCGGACTTACCTTCCGAACCTCACCTCCGTTCTCCCTCCCTTCCCTTCTCCAGGATGCCAATGGCTCTGAGGAGAAGCGGAAAAGTGTGTTGGCTTCAACTGCCAAGTGTGGGGTGGAGTTTTCTGAGCCTTCTTCCGTAGCTGCCAAGCGAGCGCGGGAGGACAGTGGGATGCTGCCCCTCATCATCCCAGTGTCTGTGCCTGTGCGGACTGTGGACCTGTCTGAGGCGGCCCAAGCTGGAGGTGTTGACGAGGATGGGAAGGGTCCTGAACACAACCCTACCGAACACAAGCCGTCGGTCATCGTCACCCGCAGGCGGTCGACCCGTGTCCCCGGGACTGATGCCCCGACTCAGGTATGAGAGGCTCCCCCTGCAAAAACCTCCACTACCCGAGTGCTTCTGGGACCTGGGACCCTCTGGGGAAAGGACAGTGTGACTGAAGGAGCAATTCAAGCAACCCATGGTGATAACTATTTCTGTTTTCCAAACCAAACTGGACAAATGCACTATGGGGGACAATGAGACAGTTTTATACTTGTAATTGGGACTGTCTGGGAAAATACAGTGTGTGTGAATGTCTTCCATTTCAGGTCACCAAATTTTGATAGGGCCTATAATATGGGTCAGGCCTTGTGCTAGGCACTGGGATGTAAATGTTTGCTGCTTCTGTTGGTGCAAACATGCGTGTTGAAATCTCCTACTAAAATTGAGCTTTTGTCCATTTCTTCTTTTAGTTCTGATGGTGGTGTTTTATACTTTTCTTTTTAATTGATTTTTTACAGAGAGGAAGAGAGAGTGATAGAGAGTTAGAAACATCGATGAGAGAGAAACATTGATCAGCTGCCTCCTGCACATCCACTACTGGGGATGTGCCGGCAACCAAGGTACATGCCCTTGACCGGACTTGACCCTGGGACCCTTCAGTCCGCAGGCCGACGCTCTATCCACTGAGCCAAACCGGTTAGGGCTGTCTTATACTTTTTTTAAAAAACATTTTTATTTCAGAGAGGAAGGGAGAGGGAGAGATAGAAACATCAATGATGAGAGAGAATCATTGATGGGCTGTCTCCTGCAATCCCCATACTAGGGGTGGAGCCCGCAACCTGTGCATGTTTCCTGACGTGAATCAAACCTCAACCTCCTGGTTCATAGGTCGATGCTCAACCACTGAGTCATGGGCTGTTTCATACATTTTAATTGATGTTGTTAGTTGCATATTCATTTAGAACTTGATTAGACACTTTTCACTATGAAATGTTTCTTTTTATCTTCAGTAATCTTTTCACCTTTTAAAGTCCACTTTGTCAGATATTTAGCTTTTGGGGGGGGGGATGTGTATCTCTTCTTTTTTTTTTTTTAATCCTCTTTTCCCATTGATTTTTAGAGAGAGTGGAAGAGGGAAAGACAGAGAGAAATATTGATGTGAGAGAAACACATCAATTGGTTGCCTCCTGCATGAGCCCTGACCAGGGCCTGGGCTGGGGAGGAGCCTGCAACCAAGGTACATGCCCTTAACCAGAATCGAACCTGGGGTCCTTCGGTCCGCAGGCTGACGTTCTATCCACTGAGCCAAACCGGCTAGGGCTCTTCTATCTTTTTACTTTATGCCTTTCTGTATCCTTCCGCTTTTTATTTTTTCTCATATCACCAGGCTTCTATCTCAGATTATTGAGGTGCTGGCTGGAGAGCATCCTTAGTATTTCCTGTAGTGTGAGTCAGTCAATGATGAATTTTATTATCTTTGTCTGAATATGTTTTATTTCATCTTCATTTTTGAAAAATAATTTTGCTAGGTAGAAAATTCTGTGTTGGTAGTTATTTTCTTTTGGCAAATTTAAAGAAAGCATTCTAGCCCTGGCCAGTGTGGCTCAGTTGGTCGAGTGTTGTCCTATACACTGAAAGGTTGCCAGTCTGATTGCTGGTCAGGGCACATGCCCAGGTTTCGGGTGTGTGTGGGAAACAGCCAATTCGTGTTTCTCTCTCATGTCCATGTTTCACTCTCCCTCCCTCTCCTGTCCTCTCTCTCTAAAGCAGAGGTTCTCAACCTGTGGGTCACGACCATCGGAAAACACATATAGCGTATCAGATATTTACATTACAATTCATAACAGTAGCAAAATTACAGTTATAAAATAGCAACGAAAATAATTTTATGGTTGGGGGTCACCACAACATGAGGAACTGTATTAAAGGGTCGTGGCATTAGGAAGGTTGAGAACCACTTTTAGGCTAAAGTCAATAAAAACACATTTAAAAAAAGATAAAGATATCATTGTATTGTCTTCAGGCTTACATTGTAGTTACAGTGTTGAGAAATCACCATACGCCATATCATTGCTCCTTTGAATGTGAGGTGTCTTTTTATTTTGTGTATTTTTTAAGATTTTTTTTTTTTGTCTTTCATTTTCAGCAGTTTTGCTGTTACACCTAAATGTGGTTTTCTTTGTGCTTCTCCTGGTTAGAGTTTGTAGCGCTTCTTGAGTATTTCTTCTGCCCCATTTTCTCTCTCTCCTACTTCTGGAACTCTGGTTACACATCTATAAGAGCTTTTCACCATGTCCCCTCTTTTGTCCGTCATGTACTTTTCTATAGTTTTCTTTTTTGAGTCTGACCTGTCTTTCAGTTCTATTTAGCTGGGTTTAATGTGTTGTTAAGCCCATTCATTGAGTTATATTTTAGTAGTTTTTCAGTTACCAAATTTCCATTTGGTTAATTTTTAGAGTTTCTAGTTCTTTGTTGGAATTCTCAACTTTGCCTTCTATCTTGTTGCATAGTTTTCTTAAAGTTTATTTCTGAGAACTCCATTAATGGGATCCCCATGGGTCTGTTTCTATTATCTGTTACTTCTTGTGTTTAAATCACATCTTGCTTTCTTGTATATTCGGTTGTTTTTGTTGAATGTCAGGTATGATATACAAAGACTTATGGAGGTAGTTGAAGGCTCTGGATGAAGTTCTCCTCTTCCAGAGGGAATTTATCTTTGCATCTGACAGGTAGCAAATAGCACCAGCTACCCTGGGTTCCTTTAATTTAACCAGAGATTAAGTGGTGATAGAGATGAGATGATTTGAAGCGGGGCCTTATTCCAGGTGAGGACTCGTCTACTTCTGATTCGCCTCTCTTCTGAGGAGACAGCCCTTTGGAGTTCCAACCCACAGGCAGCGAGTTGACCAGGCTCTGCTTCCTGGACAAGCCCTCAACTCCCAGTTTCATTCTGCTGCCTCCTTGAATTTATTTTAAAACTTCTACTCAGTTTCTCAACCTCTCAGTTGCCTCTTCCAGTCACAGCATCCACTCTAGGGAAAACGCAGCTCCAAATGCCGGTTCACCTCTTTGACTTTCCTGGATCTTGGCTTTTTAATTCTTTGCCAACTTATTTGGTCTCTGATACCTTCAGAAATGTGGTTTTTTATATTGAGTCCAGATTTTTTTCATTATTCTCAGCTGGAAAATTGGCCATAACAGAAAGGGGAGCTCCAAGGTTAACATGAGCAGCAGTCTCTGCTCTCTGGAGTCTTACTCTCTGGTTGGTGGAAAATTTTGTGGTGGAACCCAGAGGCCTGGGAAGCTTGTCCTGAGGATGGGCAGAAAGGAGCGTGAGCAACTGCACAGCTCAACACACTCATTTCAATGATGAGGAAATAGATCCAGAAAAGGCAAGAGGCGTACCTAGGGTCGTGCAGTCAAGTGATGCCAGAACTAGCCCTGGAATTTGAATCTCCTGAATTC